CAAGTATGGGAGCATTGCCATAATTTCTTCTTGATGTATAAAATTTACAGTCACTAAGATATTTTTTTTATTGCTATGAAAACATAGAGATATATTTATAGGTCGAGTGATTCTGTTAATTTTTATTTCTTGTTGAAATCCGTTAATTAAGTCAATTCATTAGCGTTTATGTGTACGCATTCAATACCCGCCCATAAAAATAAATTCTATTTATACGTTAAAAAAAAGATTCTAAATGTACATTAAAATTTACACATAAAAATAATTGAATTTTTTTAAATAGCACATTTTGTATATATTTATGATCAACTGAAATATTGCAACCAATAAACTGTCAAATTTATCATTGAACACTGCAACGATGCGCAATACCTTGGCGCCATCTGTGACAACAACAAAATTGCAATAATAAATATTTTCAACAAAATTATGTTATGTTGCAAGTACGGCACGATGGGACAGCACAGCTAATAGAAAAGCTTTGAGCATTGAGCATTGGGCATTGAGCATTGCTGCAGTGATCAGCCAGTGATCATTGACAACAACGACAAAGCGTCTGCTGTTGGACTGCAGTTGTTGGTTGACATTCCAAGCATCCCAAAATGTTGCAGCTGTGGTAACATCAAAATCAACATAAGCAACAGCAACAACAGAAACATAAGCAACAACAGCAACAACAGTATCAGTATGAATGGCAATGGTACTAATACCAAATGCAACAGCATTTTTGACAAACGCGACAACAACATATTATAAACCACGCGTCATGTTATCCTTGTACTAATGCTACCCAGCAAAGTTGCAATCAACAATTCTTAATTTAACAAGTTTTCTAACAGACAGATATTGGAGACACAAGCCAAGCTACTATGTCGCATAGATATTTCTATCAGAATACATACAAACGCACCTACAGTTGTTTGTGCCGAAATGTATTTATTTGCATAGTATTTGACTTATATTGATCATTGAAGAAATTTGCTTCCTGTTTTTCCATTTCTACAAAAAAAACTTGGTATATAAATTAGATTAGTTGGACACTCTCAATACGTTTAATAAGGAATATAAACTATATTATGTGGTATATTTGGTAGACTAATAGTTTGGTACTACACGTAACATATGTAACATATATAGCGAGGGCTAATAAATGTAAGATTTTATTATAGTACAAGTACAAATGGATTATAGATAATATATTGTACTACTCACTCTTACAACGACCGCAGTAGGCAACTTTTAAGTCTGGATTATCTGTACGACATGCTCGCTTCTTCAATTGACACTCAGTTTTGTAGGTGCGTCCGTCAGTACCGCAGACTGGGTTTGTGTTGTGCATATTATCAAAATGCTATAAAGTAGATAAATAAATAAATTTTTAATCAATTTTTTTTTATTATTATATAAAAATTTAAAAAAATTCTCTAATATCTACCATTAATGCAGAAATTAGCATATCAGTAATAAAGAAATAAATAGCTTTAATTAATAGAACGTAATGATTCAAAGTGTTCGAGTATTAAACTATTTATACAATTCGAAAATTAAATGCATGAGCAGTTCGAAAATTTAAATGCTTGAGCAGTTCGAAAATTAAACTGCTTGATCAGTTCAAAAATTAAACTGTTTGAGCAGTTCGAAAATTAAATGCATGAGCAGTTCGAAAATTTAAATGCTTGAGCAGTTCAAAAATTAAACTGCTTGAGCAGTTCGAAAATGAAACTGCTTGAGCAGTTCAAAAATTAAACTGCTTA